CCTTCCTGTCCTCTCAACCAGCCGGTCAAAGCAGATGGTCTCTTGTCCTGAGCTGGTTCTGCTGGAGGTTTCTTCCTGTTAAAGGGAGTTTTTCTTTCCACTGTCTCCACTGTGCTTGCTCAGGATGAGAGACTGCAACGAAGCCAAGATTCAACTTGTCTGCTGGATTCCTCAGATAGAGAACTTTACTAACTGGCTTTTATGTGAATGTTCCTGTAAAGTCCCTGAGACAACTTTGTTGTGATTTGGTGCTTTATGAATAAACTGAATTGAAATGGATGTTGTTGTTCCTGGTACCTTAAACCCATTGATGTATCATTTCAGTATAAATATTGACAATAAAGATGTATTAAAAATATCTTGACTTTTGTTATGACACTTTACTTTTGTCATTTACCAAACACTGTCAATGGATGGAATTATACTAATAATGGCCTGAAGAGTTAAAATAAGTCATTTAAATTTGATGTTTTCAGGCTGAGTTAGCTCTCTCTTAAAGACTGACTAGTTGTTTTATTTTGTGAATAAAATACACAGTATATTTTTAAATAGGCAGTTGATTTTTCCCTAAGGGTCATGGATAAGTTGGCGGACAATAAACGGGTTAACCTGGAAGCTTCAGAATTTGTCCAGACAAAATGTCATCCATGTCAGACTTTTACTGTCACACACCCACGGATTGGTTAAAATCTGGATTTAGCTCATAATCATGACTTAAACTTGAAACAGGTTTCATACACAGGGTGAGAATTTATTTTGAAGTTTCTACAGTGTGCACTCCAAGGACATCATTACATGCAGTGTTCCCTCAGCGTGGACTGAACTTGGCAAAAGGGCCTTCTCTTACTCTGCTCCTGCATCCTGAATGCAAAATGATCTGAAGTTGTCGACTTTGACCTCTCTAAGGGATTTTAAAAACTAAGTTCATTACAAAAACCATTGCAGACATGCTCCTGTTTTTAGTATTTTACATTGCTTCATAGTGTAACTGTTTTATGGTTTGTTTTTAGATAATTTCTTTAATTTACTTTTCATTTTATATGCTTTTATACGTTTGTTTACTTTGTCTGTACCTTATCTCTGTGTTCTTTGTTTAAAACAGGTCTCTTGTAAATGAGTCCTTGGCTCACTGAGACTAACCTGTATAAATAAAAGGTTGAATGAATGAAAAAAATCAGCTAATTAACAGCTGTTGGTACCAATTCATCCATCCATTATCTTTGCTTCCATTTTGGGTCACAGGGGTCGTCGGTGCCCATGTCCATCAATCACTGGGCGGGGTACGCCCTGGACAGGTCGCAAGTCCATCACAGGGAAGTATCAATTCAATTCAGTTTATTTATACAGCAACAATTCACAACAGAAGTCGTCTCAGGACACTGAACGGAAACATTCACATACATCATAATCAGGTAATAATATTATTTAAGGAGCCAGCAAATTGCTTTGAGTTTTCACGTCATCACAGCGTCCCATACTAAGCAAGCACAGATGCAACAGTAGAAAGAAAAACTCCCTCATTAGGAAGAAACCTACAGCAGAACCAGGCTCAGGACAAGAGCATCTGCCCTGGCACCATTAGTAATGTTTCTATCCAAAAGTTCTGTTAGCATCAATTAGGTCTATTAGCATCAATTAGCTGTTAGCATCAATTAGGTCTATTAGCATCAATTAGTTGTTAGCATCATTAGGTCTATTAGCATCAATTAGCTGTTAGCATCATTAGGTCTATTAGCATCAATTAGCTGTTAGCATCAATTAGGTCTATTAGCATCAATTAGCTGTTAGCATGCATTCGTTATGTTTGCATTCAT